GCAGTAGTAGTAGCAGTAGTAGTAGTGGTAGTAGTAGTCGTCGTCGTCGTCGTGTAAGAGGTGGTAGGAGAAGCAGTAGCATCAGTAGCAGTAACAGTAGCAGTAGCAGTAGCAGTAGCAGTAGGAGTAGTAGTAGAAGTAGTAGTAGTAGTAGTAGTACTACTACTACTACTACTACTACTACTGCTACTACTACTACACTAGTACTCGTACTAGTACTAGTACTAGTACTAGTACTAGTACTAGTACTAGTTCTAGTACTAGTAGCCGTCGCAGTAGTAGTTAGTAGTACGAGGAGGAGGAGGAGGAGGGGGAGGAGTGGTAGTAGTGGGAGTAGGAGTAGGAATAGGACTGGAGTAGTAGTAGTAGTAGTAGTAGTTGTAGTAGTAGCAGCAGCAATACCCGTAGTGGTAGTGGTAATGGTAGTGGTCAGGAAGCGGTAGTGGTAGCGGTAGCGGTAGTGGCAGCGGTTGTGGTAGTGGTAGTCTTGGTAGTCGTCGTCGTCGTCTTCGTAAGTACGAACGTACGTACGTTTTCGTACGGCTACTCCTGCTACTGCTACTGCTACTGCTACTGCTGCTGCTGCTGCTACTGCTACTGCTACTGCTGCTACTACTACTACTACTACTACTACTACTGCTTACTGCTGCTGCTGCTGCTGCTGCTGCTGCTGCTGCTGCTGCTGCTGCTGCTGCTGCTGCTGCTGCTGCTACTCCTCCTCCTCCTGCTGTTGCTACTGCTGTGGCTACTGATATTACTACGACGATGAAGCACCACTCTCAAGCACTGCTACTGTTGCTAGTGTCACTGTCAACACTACTCGCTACTCTAGGTAGGTTCTACTGCAAGACTCATCCCCAGCATTCCTTGGCCCTCCCTTCGAGAGCAGATCGATCACGCGGCCTGCTTTCCACCATTAACCTCCAGAAGGCTTCTGTGAGTTTACGGTGGCACAGGCTGGGGCTGGACAATGACAGTGCAACAGCCATGTTGAGGACTGCGACAGAGAAGGGGGCCACGACGACAGCGAGCGATGCTTGCCAGAACCACTCGAGGCTTGTGTACTTGTCGCGCTTGCTGCAGCTAGGCAAGAAACAAGCTTCGATTACAGGTTCTCGGAGTGTGAGCCCCATGCCCCCCTGGCAAGGGGATCCCATGCCCTGAAGTCTTCGAGCTTCCAAAGCTTCGAACGAGGGTAGAGCTTCAAGGCCTTGCATAAGTAGATCCGGAGATAATCTAAACCTGAAGCCCGAAAACCCTTTAAACCTCTAGACCTCTAGACCCCTAAACCCTAAGCCGTAAAACCCTAAAACCCTTAGACCTCAAACTCAAACAATTGCGCAAAAAACCTGGGATCTTTTCCAGAGGCCCGTGCGTTCCCTGCATCGCTTCCTGGAGCTACATAACCCAGTCCGCCACTTTTGCTCGAACACCGTATATTTTTGCCTGAAAATTAGACATAGTGCTTTAGGGCTCCTCAGTATGATGATTGCACCTCATAATACAACCCCAAACCTCTTTCTACGTATTCAGGCACGAACTTACCCTCCTTTGCTTCAGCACCTCGGCCCGGCTTTGGGAGTTGTTGATGTCCATCGAGCCGTTCTCCTGGCCATGGGAAAAGCTCTTGATCACTATACGGCAGCTCTTGCTGTGCCTCTCACTGTTGCTCTTTTTACTACTATGCCTCTGCCCACCCTCGCGACCGCATGCGACCATGCTGCTGGTTGTACAAAAAGCGCAGACTTGCCGTCGTCGTTCGTTGTCATAGTTCCGGTGGTAGTCGTGCTGAGCGTGATGCTGATGGTGACAAGTCATGGGCAGATCAATTAAATTGGTCTCTCACGGCCGGTCAACCAATCGGCCAGACTCAGTCCTGCTGAGAATCGCTCTTGCGCATGTAAGCAACGGTACGAAGTGCAGGTGACCAGTGCACTGCCTGCACTCCCCAAGCACTGTTGCTATCGCAGCCCCCTCTGTGACTGGTGCTAGTGCTGGAGCGGATAGCTGCCGTGCTGCTGATTGTGCTGCGTGGTGAGCAGAGGAGTGCACCGGCAGTGACGGTGCTAGTCGCCGTGATGGGGTGGATGGTGGCGGGCGCGACAGCTGCAAGAGTTGCTGCCGCGTGGTGTTAATGGCGGCTTGGTCGGCGGTGCACGTATAGTAGAAGTGTAGTGATGCTCTTGGTGGTGGTGGTGGTGGTGGTGGTGGTGGTGGTGGTGGTGGCAGTGGCAGTGGCAGTGGCAGTGGCAGTGGCAGTGGCAGTGGCAGTGGCAGTGGCAGTGGCAGTGGCAGTGGCAGTGGCAGTGGCAGTGGCAGTGGCAGAGGCAGAGGCAGAGGCAGAGG